TTCGGTCAACACACACTTGATGCCAGTGTCAGCATCGCCGCGCAACAAGTTTCGCTAAAGTACTTGAAGTTCAATTGCGTCCCAAAATGATGTCGCTGATCACTCAGTTGTCGCAGCGTGTGTTGTGTCATGTCCATGATGCACCCCAGTTTCGACTTTGGCCTGCTTTTCCTTCTTGTTCACGTAAAATGCGACCTCTCACCAATGTATTAAAACACTTTGAATTTATACTTTGCATGATTATATTTGGTCAACGCGAAACATTATTTTTTCTAAACATTTTCTGAGACCGATTTTATCAACGCAGAGTTATTTTTTCCAGACAAGATGGGCTTCGTAATATCTGCCATAACATCGCCCGGGCGATGCCTAGAAAAATAAAAATAGGCACTGCAGCCAGACGGCTACTTTGTAGCCACGTGTTCATTGTTTTTGTGTACAGAGTGACCTTTGCCATTTTCACTGTTTCTTTTCAAGTGTAACATGGTGCGTGGTTCTTGACGCAGTGCGTGTTCTCTGTCTGACTATACGCCATGAATGTCGCTAGCCATGAGTCTCAGAGGCACTAAAAAAACGTCCCGTAATTGTGTTCATTGGAAAACAAAACAATTCACTAATAAATTTATGAAAACAGTTCCTTTTTGAATCGATCTAAAAGTACTCGTTTAATTCGCGCACCAAAAACCAATAATTTCCGTTTTGACGCTATTAATTCGTGCACTTGAAAAAATAATTATTTTTACTACCGCGAATTAATCGAGTTTTTACGGTAAATACCGATACACGCACATGACTTGGGTTTACTATAACAAATAAAAAAAGATATACCTCTTCAGCTGGTTTTTCTAGTTCGATTGCTTTTTGTTCTCTGTCTGGGAAAGACATTGGGGCTGCCAAGGCCTGGCCACTTATTTCTTCATCAAGGAGAGGTCTGACACGACAGAAGACTCTGATATTACCCTGCAACAGAATTCACAGCAATTAACAATTACAATTATGGCTTATAGATCTAGGCTCTATGATAATATATGTTATATAATTCAACATTGTACAACCAGTCATTAATACAAGTGTTACCTACTTTCAATTCTAGAATAGTGTTATGAAGTATTTTCCTTTGTGCTTCATCATCCATGATCTGTGCATCGCGCTCTTCAATCTTGGTTTCCAAAGATTTTATAGTTTCCAAACGTGTTAGGGACTCTTCTTCTTTCTCCCTCAATTTAGTCTCTAATAGTTCTTTGTTACGCTGTAACAGTCAACGATAAAAGAATTAGAACAATTTCCGCGTTTCAGAATGACTGAAAGGTCTAGTTGAATGAGCGACCAATAAGAACTTTTGGTGCAGATTGTGTTCTGATGGGTAAAAAAAAAAAAAATCACAGAGAGCTGTTTATAATTAGACCAGTTTAAACTTGGTCGCAGTTTTACAATGGTCAAATTGCACATTTACCCAATAATGACAAAGAACTGATAGTTGGGCCAAGTGTGTGATAAAACAGAAGCTTTGAAAATCAAGCCATGGAATTATAGCCATGCAGTAATCGACCAGCATGGCATACTAACATGGCAAGAATTGAAATTTGAAATTGAAAGCATACTTTAAGTTATCTACATTGTAAGCCAAAGGATCGTCACCTGCACCTGCACGGGAATAGAGTTCCAAGCGACGATAACACGCAAAGGCTCATGGGTAGACGCTTGTTTGTAAACAATGACATGCTATAGCCAACTGACGCATGCGCAGGTGACGACTCCCCCACTATAATGTAATATTCACCTTCAAACTGCTCAGCTCAGATTCTAGTCCAACTTTCTCAGAGCTCATTTTTGAAATGGAACATCTCAAGCCAGTATTTTCTTCTTTAGCCACTCTCAGCTTAGCATGTAAATCATCATGAACCATCTCTAACCGAGAGTTTTTGCGCTCAAGAAGATAAATCTTATCCTCCTATCACTATAGAGTAAAATATGAAGACGTTATAATAAAGCTGTACATTGACCCTCGGTTGCAGTCAGGGAGCACTGCAATTCAGGGACGCCACGAAGTAAGGGAGATAGGGTTCTCCCTTACCAGGGTGCGAGTTTTTGATGATTCCAAGTTAAAAT